AGTCAAATCCTAAATAACGAAAAAAATTGAAATATTGTTTTTGACTTTTGGGGACAAAACCATATTACCACGCAGCATTACTACGAGGACAATCATGTATGTATTTACTAACATGACTATCTTTTTGTCGAGAATAAAATTGTTTTAGTTATAATAAAAGAAACTAAAAAAATACAAAATTGTGTGTTTGCAGTTTGAAGAGACACTGGAGCATATAGAGAGAAATAGCTGAAAAGAATACGTCAAATTTTGTGAGGTTCATGAATAAAATGCTTACAGTATTTTCTAAGAGTTTGCGGAAAAACGTTTGTTAAATCATCGAGGGTTTATGCTTTGTACGTAAAACATAGTAGGGTATAGAAATAATTATGGCTACGCGCATTCCGACCAAAAATCCTTTAAACGTGGTAGGATATTGGAATAATTGTAAGTGACTTAGGGTTAGAAGGAATACACTCGAAACACACGGGATATTAGCTAACAGCTGATTGTTTGTCGTGTTTCTGTTTCAAAAATTTCATGAATTCTAAGGTATCCGCTTTCAAATTTCACATTCGATTTGCAATTGTTTGTTGAAACCTAGTGAAAACAAGTTAGTCGATATCAAAATGTTCTAAAAAAAACCAGCGCATTAAAATTATGTTTACGCATTTATAAATTTATTTGTGCGTTATTTTAAAAATGAATGAACCACAATTTATAAAGAAACATTACGAATAGATAATGCGAAGAGGGGAATCGAAAGTGAAAGATACCTTACATCACCGCAAATAAAATGAAATTGTTAAGTACGTCGTACATTTTGCAAATGAACCAAACATTTTAATAATTAATATGGTCTTTTTGATGTTCTCAAAAGACATATATTTATATTTTATCATACCAGATTTTAACTACGCAAAGACAGCTTATTTGGGGGCGTTTGATAAACGTTTACAAGGTCCTCGAACGGAAAACAAGTTCGTCATTTGTTTATGGAAATTAAATCTCGATCGATCGAGTAATATTAACATATATACACAAGATTTTTGATATTTCAATAACATTTCATTTTAGCTAATTTGATTCAATTTTTAGCATCTATAATGTAAAATAGCCATTAAATGTGATAGTTTGTTGGAAGTTTTGGTTTGTTAAGAATAAGAACATGTTTTTTTTTCGGGGGTCAAGAATAAGAACATGTTAAAGTTTATCATTGTTTATCAATGTCGACATGGTCACATATTGAAGGATATAAAACTTGGCATTACCACTCCGATGGTTGACTTAATAATAAATAATACTAACATTTTGTTTTCAATATTTATGATGAAGCTGAAGAAATCATACAGGTAAAGTGGCGTCGGCCTAATTTTATAAGTTTTGTTTGTTAATATGATAAGGAAGATAAAGCTAAGGCTACGTTGAGTAAAAAATAGAGGATGAACTAAGGCTATATTAATGACGTTACATAATTTTATGATTTTTGGATTTTTTAATTTATCATTTTTGTTTATAAACTTTATATGATCAAATTACTAAATGAATATCTAAAATATAATTTATAAAAATAAACTAAGTTGAGACGTACAAGTTTTTTATTTGTAAAAGTATAAGAGAACTTTGTTTTTATATAGGAAAGAATTGATAGAAAAAAGTGTATTAGACTGAAAAATATTGCATTTGAACCAAAAAAAAAGACTGAAATATATTGCATATTTGTAAAATTATAGGACTAAATTCAGGGGTTGTTTATAGAAAAAGGGTAAGCAGATAACACCTTAACTGGTATATAAGATTCTCAACTGGTGTCCAGATATCACCAGGCAGGAAACAACTTAATATGTGGCCAACACATTCTGCCAAAAGAGATCCTTTTGAATTATTTATTATTTAAATTTTGAAAAGTTGGATTTTACAGATTCTTACCCTTTTCAAAACTTATTAGTGCCTCTATTGTGAACATGCATTGCTAATTAGTCAAACTATTCTGCCTCTCCTCAGCTTTCGAGCATTTTCCAAAAGAACACATATCTCTTAAGAAGATGTAACTCATGATCAGCATTAACAAGTACATATTAACTGAAAGATATTGTTTTTTTTTTGAAATTTAATTCAAAGAGATTGTGATGGTTTAATAAGCGAATAAATTGTAAGTCTAACAATAGTTTATCTATTTCGTTGTCATATATTTGAAATTAAATTTCATAAAAGATAATAAGTTAGATGGAAGGATGCTTATACTATAAAGCACGCCGTTTATATATATATATATATATATCAATTAACTACCACATTACTGGAACATTGTAAATGCATGAATTACGTAACTAAATTGTTTCCATAGAAAGTCTAAACCAACCAATATAATTTAGTGGCTGAGATGCTAACTTTAATCAAGGTCACGATTTTTAGCTACGTTTATTTTTATGTTGGTTATTATAGATGTTTAGTTTTACGGTTGGCCGCTATATACTTTTAATTAAGGGGATCTGAATTTCTACAAATTGTGTAAGAGTAGTTTAAATTTTGAACTAATAATTTATTTGATTAATTATAAATTTTAGCTGTATGATCAGTTATAATATTAAGATTAACATATTTGTCACTCAAAATATGTGCGTTATATCATAGATCTATTAAATCATGTAATCTATTGCCCACGTCAAAGAAAGGAGACATAACCGATAGCCTATAGCTGGATTTCATGTGGACTAGCTTGCAATGAAGTTCCACGTCCTCAAAACTCCTTCGTATTTGAAACAAATGTAAAATTAATGTTTTTTTGTCTTCTAAAGGTTAATGTTTTTTTTTTTTTGAACTTTTCTAAAGGCTAATGTTGCTAAAACATATTACAAGATTTGATCGATCATCGGTCATATTGTCTCGTCTTAGTTCTAGTACAGACACAAGATTTGATCGATAATATGATCAAACACAATACACCTTCATGCGTACATTAATACAAGAAAGAAATAAAAAAAACCATTGATCGAACACAAACACCTGCATGCGTTTACGTAAAAATAAGAAAGTAAGAGAAAAACTTTGACAAATCACTGACGGACCTCTTTCGTTTTTAATGTTACCTTGCATTAGTATGTAGAAACATTTACTTAATATAAATGTATGTATAACATACGTATTTGTAGATACTATACGTTTTTGTTATTAACAAGAAGTAATTAACTTTTATATTATATATAGTCTTATCAAATCAAAAATTTACACATTAATAATAAGTGGTTTATTCGATAATATAATATAAGTAAGAACATTATTTAATCACTAAACATTTGGCAACTATTCTCCCATTCATATACTAGCGTTGAAATTTTACGTTCAAATTTCCATAGACATACATCCCAAGTTTCCGCGTCGCGCATCTCCGTTTGCGCTTCGAGGAGTTATCCAAGAGACACTAGCTAGGAGCTCACATTACATAGACATTTCAACGTTACAACATTAATTAAAAGTTTCCACAGTGATGCAAATATTTCAATTCCGTTGAAATTATTTTAGATTTTCCACTTCACAATGACACTCAAGAAAATTAATGTCGTCAAAGAACCATGAACTTAATATATACATGTATATTATTTTAGTAAATTAACGTTGGAATTTATATATAGGATTTTCTATTGCAGGCACTCAATCTTCTAATGACTAACGTTACAACGTACTCGATCGAGTTTTCGCGTCTTACATTTGATTAGCAGTTTCTCTTGAACGTTATTAATAGTTTTTATAAAATTGACCAAACGCACTTATTAATGGGCCTCATCAATCTAGTTATTATAGTAATTGAAAATGGGCTCAATACGTATCGATGGGTCAAGTCCATCTATTTCTTACGGTGACTGAATTTGCGCTTTTTGCGAATTATTGTTGCACCAGGACGTGTGGGCTACACGGAGAGCTTTCCGTAAAAGCTCTCTATCCTCTCACCTTCTTGAAAATTTCCATCTCCTGTCCGGACATAGATGCAAACACAAAGTTATTATATACTAGTTATTTTTATAATTTGTAATAGCTAATTATGTTCAAATTATAATAAACAACAGTTAATTATTCTTAATTTGCTACGGGCTAGCTTAGGATCATAAGCCAATAATATACACCTTTTCAAATTATTTTGGTTACCTTTAACAACAACAAAAACATACAGACTTGTTCGATAATAAGGTGGCTACTTAATACTATGAACGACATTTTGAAGATGAAAAATTGTAAGGTTTAGAAATGCATAGCTACTAGCTAGTCTGCAACTTGCATCATCATCATTTTAGGTTTTTAGAATTTAACTTCTTTTATTATGGTTGCAAAAAAAAAAATTATTTTATTATTTGGCGAATAAATTTACAATGGAACAAGCCAACAAGGGATAAAAAATCCAGCCATGCACGTATTGTATATACAGTTTAAGTATCTTTTACTTCTTAGGTGGTGGCATCCGCAGATGGGTCGTGTCACGGGTTTCCATTTCGTATTTTATATCAAATTGGAATAATTTTTTATCGCCATTATTATATTATTTTTATAGTATGGTTCTGCTTTAGTAATTAGAATATAATACGCTGAAATTCAAACTAATTCTAAAATCTACAAATTGCATACATAATTTCCGGCCCAGTTTGAATGTAAGCAATCGTTTCAGGATATCGACTAACACGATAACATTCATAAACTAGTTAACCCGTTCTGATCCGGTTGGCCAATATTCTAAATAGCTTATACTTGTCATTTAAAATGATAGTTGAAAATTTAAATATTGGTATCATTGTGAATGCAGTCTGATCTTTTTTTGTATATCCGATCATTAATTATACATACTTATTTGCTTAACACATGTGAACTAATCGCCTGAAACAGATAAAATCTTACATCAACCAAAGTAGAAAACTTTTAGAAATGACTAAAACAAGAGTACTTGCAGATCTAAACGAGAACCGACCAAAGAAACAGAAGCAAGAAAATTGAACAAACAAATCAACTACTCGATTTATCCATTTTTATTCTCCTCAGGCACAAATGAAATCAGAGGGAAGCTTTTTGCCGCAAGTATTGATGAGCAAACTCAAGGAGATGGGAATATCGATGTTAATCCCCAGAATGTTAGCTTTAATGGCGGTACAAAGGCAAACGGCAGCTTCAAGATCGACCAGCCCTTGAAGAACCGAGCAGCAAGGCGTGTCTGGGGGATTTCCGATGACTGTTCCGACCGCACCATCTAGTATTTTGGCGCAAACTCCCAGTTGTAGGGAGTCTTTCGGGCAGCTATGTTTTGTAGGATTGCTGATTGGGGTAGGGTTAGGGTTAGGGTTTGGGATTGGCTTAGGTGGCAAGCAAGTATTGCAGCCATTTACATACGCAAAAAACATGAGGTTAAGAAATAGGAAGAGTGCTGCGGAAAAAGATCTGTGGGATTCCATCGATCTCTTAGTGGCTAAACTCTAATCAATGTTGATTAACAATGTGATTATAGAGCTACGGATGTGATATTTAGCCTTGCGACTAAGTATGACCGACAGTTGGGCTTATATAGGAGCAAGCGTGAGGGCTCCGAAGTGAGCCACAAGACTCGCATGCGTAGAGAAAATTAGTGTGGAGCTGCTGTTGTTAATTATCAAGTTGATGCTTGTTATAAGACTAATTAATTATAGATGCGCTTTTCGATTAATTAAGAGATGATGGTGGAATAAAAAAACTTAGTAATCTATATGTATTAGCTTATATACGCCAGTTAGTTTTCGTTATATTTTATAAGTATCTAAAATGAACTTACTTGAAACTTTAAGCATTGAGAATTGTCGATGTAAAACACATAATGCGGTTACGACATATTTTTTCGTTTCAACAAGACCTTGCAATATATTTTTATATGAAAATTGTTGTAACGCCTCAATTTCAATTTGCATCTGTAGGAAATTTTAATTTCATTTTTGGTGCTTCAGCATATCTGGTGTCTAGTAATTCCAAAAAATCATAACAACTACAATTGTATTTTGGAAAAAAAATTCAAAATAATTATCGAATAAAATTGTAGATTATCAGATATGTCAGTTTACATTTTTTTTTTTTTTTTTGGTTCGCTGGCACAGATTCTATCAATTTTTAGTAGGTCACACATCTGAATATTACATCATCACGAACAATGCTTAATCATATATTTCTCCTATTAAGAAATTAGTGGGAAAATATGCATTTTGGTGTGTTAAATTCTTAAATTATACTGCAAAAAGGAATTATGACTGTTGACAAAATTATCAATTACCCGATATGTTTTCTTATATAATAATAAAACAATAATTTTACAGATCCATTACCAGAATATATAAGCATACTTTAATACAAATATTTGTGTATCACACAGACGAACCAATGGGCGATTTAGAATTCTTATGCAATCCCGTGAAGTGAACAATAATAAGAGTAATAATAATAAACAGTTTGTTATCTTATGTACAATAATTAAAATCATGTGTGGGGGCAGAAGACCAAGTTGCAATTTGTAAAAAGTACAATTTCTGACAGTGATTTTAAATTTATAGGGCCAAAACAATATCTCAACTCTTATACAACGAAAAAACAATATGGCGATGAAAAGGAAATATGAAAAAATAATACTCTAATAATTAAGGGCTAAAACTTTTGAAACAAAACAACAAAAGAAATCTACATTATTATACTCACCTCCTCATATAGCTTCTAGATTTTAAAAGTGAGAAAGCTTCCGCTTCAGCTTCAGAATCTTTTCTTAATAAGCGTTTAATATATCTGATGGCGACATAGGCGATGGCAGACCAATGTAGAACAATAGGGTGTCATATGGCACTCTGTAAACTGTTATTTTTGTTCTAATTGTATATAAATATTGAAAGTATTGGTAATACTTTTTTTTTCCGTGAAAGTCTTGGTAATACAATTGATAAGTTTTGGTCATTTGGTCAGCCGTATAACTAAGTTTTATATTCATAATTGATAATTTTGATATATTAACCCCACTGTATCTAAGTTTTATATTCATAATTCGTTTCCAACAACAAAACGTAATGGTACAGGAAAAACAATTCTGGTTCGCCACTGAACATAGGCACTCACGAGCAAGTGGGTACATTGAACTGGAGTGAAGCCAGTCTCTCGATGGCTACTTTTCAACTGAGTTCCAATTTTTGTTGTTTAGAACTTTATAGGGCGCTCATACTGGATGCTACAAAAAAGAACGTTTGTTTGACCTAGAAGTATATATCTCAATTTAAATTTGCCTCGTTCCATCCGGTTCAGAAACTTTTTTTATTTAATTTTAAACTCGTTTTAGCTAGCCGTAAAACACTAGTTTTGATTTTCTTTTAGCTTTTAATTTTTCCTGAATCCTATTTGCATTAGCTTAGGGAATCTTGATAACGAAGATCCCTTATCAATCATGTCCTAATTAATTCGATTCTTTTTGTTTTTCTTGTATTCTTACCCGGGTGGATTTATGTTGAAGCTTATGGGTGCACATGCCCCAAAGTTATATAACTTGTAGCTGTTGTTAATAGTTATGGTTTGATTGCTTGTCACATTGGACACAGTCTTATGAGTGCCCCCAGTGATACAAAGTTCGACACTTTTCCTGCTCATTCTTCTTAGTCTTTGGTCTTATTTTTGTGTGTTTATAACTTTATATCACTTTTAGTGTCTCTTCTTTTTTTCCTTTTTCCAACAAACGCCTCTTTTGACCAGATAACTAATGACTATTATGTAAATAAATAATGTACGTCTACTACTTCTTTCAAGCGAATAATTTTGTTTCCTTAGACTAATTTACCGGAGGGGAAATAATTTTTTTTTTTTATCGGAGTATTATAAAATACTTTATTTTTTGTAATAAAAAAATCTTGTATAATGTCCCTTATAAAAAAAAGTTCTAGATCCATGCACCACTGGTATATGAGATAGATCATGCATGTGAAACCCATGGAACTATGCTAGACGTATGATGCTCTAAGATTGCATTTAGTAATTTCCTACTATTATAGAATGTGTTTCAGTTTACGTTGGCCACTTAGTTTTAGAATTCAAAATATTCCATGCAATAAAAATATGCGATGAAGTGCATACCAACTCTAATGCAGTGAACTTAGCCTAGACAATGAGAACTGAAATTATGAGAATTTATGAGTTCAATTGAATTAATTCTATATGGCTCACTAATCACTTAGATTACCGATGAGACTTAAGTAATATTGAAGGCTTATCTCATTATTTGTGATCCATACGTTATGAAATCCATTTGCTTACCTTATTGCATTGATTTGATTGGTATTCCATGGCCCATCGTTGATTGTTGATTTGTTTCCTACACCTAAGATTCGTTAAATGGAGTATTTGCAAGTTGCTTTCTGTAGTATTAGTTCTTAATGCGCTAGTTTACTTTATTTTCTTAATTTATTGCTACTTATGGTTTAAATCCGCTGCTTGTTACATCATCTTGTTTATGCTTTGTTATTATATTAAAAATTCTTCAAACAAAATTAACCATTTAGTCTTAGCTTGATCAACAGGATAAAAACTGGATCACATAACAATGATAGGATAATATTCTATCATACTTTCCGTAAACATCTTTTTAATTAAAAGTCCTAATATATACATTATTAAATTTAAAATTTTAATCAAGAAAATTCCAGCTGGTGAATCTTGAATATATATATATATCACTTCTTCTGATTGATAGTATTTTTATTAAAAGCAAAAACAAGCCCTCTATACAGCCATTTTTTGTTAATGTTAACTAAAAAATTAATGATCGATTTTGATATCAGGTAATATTTTTTGTGTGCAACTATCAAGTAATATACAAAAATCGTACTGTAGATGAAGGTGTCTTTGGTATATGTGTGTACAGTAAAGAGCATCGTTCTATTCTCATGATCAATCTTATCTTGATTTACATTTGTTTGTGAAGGGCACAAGAGAACCAGCATTGTCACTATCACATGGTTTCTATGGCAACCATGCATTAAATATATTATTATGATTCTGGGTTGTTTTGTCCGTAACCATATTATATATAAGGAGATTGGTAGATGCGCAACGCATCTGTCAATTTTTCTTAATGATGTATTTGTAAATATTTCAATGTTATAATGAATTAGTTTATTGTAAGAATTTAGAACTTAATTTCCCCCCATAAAAGCCATATTTTATTATATTTTAATTTAAATTATGTTCTTTCTAGCTAAGAGGCTCCGCGGGAAATCATAAATAAGAAGGAAGGGAAATGAATTGGATTTCTTGGATTTATCATTTATATAAGGGAAATGATTTTCTTTTATATGTGAGGCAGAGCTGGCATTTCAAGCATAAAACCTCAAACCCATAAAAAAAACTTTCATTTGTATTTTCTTTCAATTAATTGGACTTGCACGGGTTTGACTATTTTCTACCATTTTGATTGTCTCTATCATACAAAAACATACTATGTCATGTATTTGACAAAATTATGAAGAAGTGAAAATATGTATTGGTTTAAATGTTAGAGAAAAGAGAAAGATATGTCCTTTAATTATCCTTCTGATTACAAAGAACATTCACAAAATATTTTTTTTCTAAATTAGAAAAGAGCCTACGTTATGTTATGTATCTACAAACTTCGAATATTGTGACATGCAATTCAAACAAATTATAAATCGATTGTAACTCGTAACAAAAGTACATACACTACTAGATCGATAATGTTTCGCATCGGCTACGTAAAACGACAACGTATTTCACACCATTATTATAGTACATTTCGTATCTTCAAATGCTTTAAAAGTTAAAATGGACAATACGTAGAACTTCCTTTTACGTTTCAATCATTTTTTTAATTGTAAATATTTAATTATTTTAAATATGATAATTGTAATCAATCACTCAAAATTTTATATTAAAAAATTCCCATAATATCTTATGGATGCTCTTGGGCTTTCCTTGAAACCACTATAAAACCTACCTCAATTCCCTTCATTTTCTCCACACTCAATTCACCCATAACATAGCTATTGAACAGTATCTTCTAAACCAAAAATGGCTTCAAGCTCCATAGCCCTTTTCTTGGCTCTCAATCTTCTCTTTTTCACAACAATATCTGCATGCGGTAGCTGCACCCCTTGCGGTGGAGGTTGCCCCTCTCCCAAGCCAAAGCCAACTCCTAAACCAAAACCAACCCCAAGCCCTAGCTCTGGCATGGGAAAGTGCCCTAAAGACACTCTCAAGCTCGGTGTCTGCGCCAATGTGCTCAAAGGACTCCTTGACTTGACCCTTGGAAAGCCACCGGTAGAGCCATGCTGCAGTCTCATCCAAGGACTCGCTGATGTTGAAGCAGCCGCGTGTCTCTGCACCGCTCTTAAGGCTAACGTTCTTGGAATCAACTTGAACCTCCCTATATCTCTAAGTCTGCTCCTTAATGTTTGCAGCAAACAAGTTCCTCCTGGCTTCCAGTGCTAATCAACTATATTCATATAATTTAATCACACTTATGTGTATATTTATCTTCTTGTTTTGAACAGGCAAGGTGATTCTGCATACTTTTATTATTGTGTCCTTTTATATTTGTGGGTTCTCATTCTAGTCTTCTTCTTATGGTGTTCATTGGAGTCAAATTATGTCTCTGTCGGTGTGATCCGTAAGATTCTTGAAGTTCACAGTTCCATTATTTCCTATTACTCTTATATTGGGTGGGGGTATTGCTGTATTGGTTGTATTATGATTCTATGAATTAATAAAATTTATTTGTTAAGTTATGTATTCATTTTTTTAGTATATTGTTTGTTCATATTCATTTGTACACAATTGCACAACAAAAAAAATATTCAATTGGTTCGTCTTCTATATATAAATGAATTGATTCTCAAAGGATGAAGTCCAATCAAAATTGTTTGTTTTCATTTTAGTTTTTTTAAGAGAAGCCTCATAATTATATGAGTTTTTTTTTAGTTTATATACATCATTACACTTTACATTACCGTAACTGATTTTTAAAAAAGTAGCAGAATATTTCAATTTAACCAGTTTCATTTTAATACAAGCAAAGGTATTCATAGTAGAATGATTTTTTTTTTTTCTGAAAATTGTGGCAATTTAAAATAGAAAGCTGTTTGCCTGTTTACTGAAGAATTAGAATGCCTAGAAATTATGGGTTACTTACTGTAAGAGATGGTAAATCATGAAAATCGTAATTTTGAAATTTGTTGAAAAACACGTTAAGGATCTAGATTTTCTACACTTATGCACATATTATTAAATTCATCAAAATAAAATAGAAATAATCGGTTGTCGGGTATATCATGTCGGATCCTTTGATAGTAGTGCATGGATCTTTTCAGAAGAAACATAAAAACAATCACGCTACATCATGGAGAATATAACAGACCTAAAGATACATGTGTCAACTCTACAAAAACAAACGTTGTAAATATTTCTCTTTTTTATAAGGATATAAGGATGAATGTTAAATGAACAGAAAAAAGAAAGTTTTCACTTTGGGAACATATATACAAAGCTTTAAAAAAATTATAACTAAATTTAACCCAAAAAGTAAAATTTAAAACTAAAAAAAAAACTTTGTTATTCATTAAATTTACTCAAATTTTTTATCTATTGAAAAAGGCCACGTATTTTGGGCCACGCGTAAAAGAAAAATATCGTAGAAGACACACTGTCTCAAACTGTGGTCGGACGGGCCTTACGTCTCGATCAGTCTTTAAAATGTTGCGTCCTTATTATCACTGTCTTCATGCAAAGGCATTAAGTGCATCAAATCAAAAACATTAATTATATATAGATACCAATACATATTATATAGATACAAAAGCTTCATAACATCAATATACAAACAAATGCATTTTGACGTTCTACTTTTTATGACTAAAAATCATAGATTATCCAGCGATTTATTCGATAAATGTAGGAAAGATTTTGGACAAGGTTGTCTGATGATAAAGCTACGACTACGAACTGTGAACAGAATGACAAGCTCTAGTGTACTTATACGCCAACGAGTATATATATTGTATTTAATCGTGTACATTATTTTGAAGCTATAGGGAGATCCGGAGATGGCTTTAATTATGAACGTATGCAAGATTTTTCTCCATATGATGATCAAATGTAAGATATATGTGATCGAACAGTACACAAAATACGTCTCTTTCCCGTGAATGGAGAATCTAGTGAAGGAGAGTAAGTTGTAAGATCTCTTTTGGTCGTCACATGGGACTAGGAAGGAAGGAAGTGGAGAACAAAAAGGTGTGTTTTTGTTTTGTTTTGTCTTTTCGGGAGATAAAGTCACCACTACATTCGATAAAGTTGTAGTAATTCCACACCACTAATGATCTCAAACCACATGCAATTCGAAGGAGAAAATCCATAATATCTATATGATTGGTAACAAAGTTATTACATGGCCATAGATACTGTCACGCTCAATATGACAATATCTTAAGTTCTAAACCTATAGACATATATAATCTTGATTTCTTCATATTATTATTAACTCGTCCATTATTAACATTCAGTCTCATCGTTATCTGAGGTAAGTAACATATACGATGCTAGTTCGTGTGGGACTCATAAGATGCTAGAGAATAGAGATTGCCTTCACGACAATTCTCTCGTTTATATAATATTAATTACCTAACTATACATATATATAAAGCTAATTTAAAACGAAAAAACTTACAATTTGTGTCATCATAGATTTCTGTCACGGTGTATTGCGTGTCAATTCAGAGTCGGATGGTCCCTTTGGAGCAATTATAAATTTGATGGATGCACTATGCATATATTGATCCCGTGAACTCTCTTTGTTTTCTTCTTACTCTTAGTTCGATATAAACAAAAAAATCTCTTATATTATAATGTGTGTATCAATTAATAAAGAAAGATTGGAAGCAATTTCCATCTTACAATCTTGAATTATGCACTTATTCGTATCATGGGTTACAATCCAAAACAAAGAACTAGTGGATATTGGAACATGTCTTTTTTAAGAAACGTGCATTTTCGTTGAAAGTTTTCAACAATTTCATGACTGGTGGCTGGATTAGATCTTTAGGTGTTGACTTCTGATTATGAACTTAGGAATACTGTAAAATCGGGATTAGCAGGTCGGCCAATTTGAATTTTTATGTGCTACTATATATAAATAAAAATTAATATGATTGATTTTAAACACAAAATTGATTAATTTATAACAAATAGTTAGGTTTACATAGTTGGATACGTAGATGCTTTTTCCTGTGAATGGCTGGAGTTTATAATCTATATATTTTTTCGGGTAGATAGATGAATAATTTATAACTTTCTGTTCATTATCTTATATGATCCTTTTAACAATTTTCAGGCATTTTACGTCTCTACATTGTTCATTAAATTAAGATAGTTTACATAAAATATGTACCAGACGGACACAAACTACAAATAACAATCAACAACCTGATAGCAAATTTGTAACTTATCTGCAAGAAATTTTTTATTTGAACATTAATAAAAGTGTCGTACATTTTAGCAAAAAAATAAAAAAATAAATAAATAAATCTGTCGTGTAAATGGCATAACTCAAGATTTCATTTGGTAGTATATGGGCTTTTGGGTCATATAACATTGTTGTCGCAGACCAGCGAAGTTACGCCCAAAATTACAAACCCACCACCCCTAAGTGAAAATTATCGCCAGCTACATAATTCAAGGTTTCATTTGTTAGTATGTGGGCTTTTGGATCATATAACATTGTTGTCGCAGACCAGCGAAGTTAGGCCCAAAATTACAAACCCACCATCCCTAAATGAAATTATCGCCAGCTTTCATTTGTTCAGTTGTTCTTTCGCAGCCGCCGGAAAATAAGAGGTTTCGCACCCAACCCATAACCAACAAACCACTATTTTCTAGGTTAATGCTCAATTAATGAATAGGATTAAGCTTTAAAGTAAAATAAAAATAAAAAATATGGATTGGATCTGGAAATAGGCCAGATTTAAACGGGCTGAGCTCAAAGTGGGCTGAGCCGGACATCACTATAACATTAGTACTACAACTATTGTGGTTATGTTTCAAAATTGCAGTCTTTAGTGTGATCCGGACTAGGATCGTGAAATGAGCAATATTTTGTCTGAATATTGCAAGCACTGACAGTCTTTAACACTATTCAAATTCGGTAAAGTTGAGTAAACAATAGCGTCATAAGATCAACTTATCTTAGTTATCTATATATATAATCAGGTGTTTTGCACTAAAGAATGGTATCATTGAACTATCTGCATATACTGATCGCGATGAAATGATAAGGAAAAGCATTCATTTTAATTGGTCAGATCTTCTTAGTCCTCGTTGTTTTACACTTACAATTAGTATGTTTTTTTTTCTCTTTTCCAAATACACACATTACTGTATATCCTAGTCAAATATTTTACGATAAGCACAAAACTCATCAATGTTGTATATTAAGGAAATATTCTTTTCTATTCTTCCATCTAAACACAAACGCAAAAGGTTAATGTAAAATTCCATGTTCTCGGTTTTAAGGTTGCTACAATTTGTCCTACGACCAAGCATGTGAAGTTGTAAACAATATAGCTTCCTTTGTTTTGTTTTTGATGTAACAACCATTAAAAGACCCAAACATCTTGATTTCATTATATGTTTATAACAAAGCCAACAAACGAAAGACAATACTTATGAAATTTTGATAGAATAAAATATTAAAAAAGAAAAACGAAATGAGACCAAATAAGGTAAGGATATAGCTTCTCCCTCTTTACTCCTCGGCCTTCTCGACGGCGACTTCCACTGCAGCCACAACTTCCTCCGCCTCAGTTTTCTTCTCCTCCTCCACAACCGCCGGAGTTTCCGTCACTTCCTCCTTTTCTTCCTCTTCTTTCTTTGCCTCCTCCACAACCGCCGGAGTTTCCGTTACTTCCTCCTTCTCTCCTTCCTCTTCTACCTTCGGCTCCTCTGTTTTCTCTGTTTCTTCATCTACTTTCGCTGCCTCTTCCACAACCTCTTCTTTGCTCGTTTCTACGACTGGTGCTTCGGATTCTTCTTCTGTTTCGATGGCTGGAGCAGGAGCAGACTCTGTCTCTGAGGCAATTTCTTCCGGCTGTTTCGTCTCCACCACTGGCTCCTCCACCTCAACGTTCTCTGCTGCTGCTACTGGAGCAATCACTTGTTCAACCTGTAAGCAAAAACATACTTAGTATATAGTAAACTGTATGACGTTTTTATCAGATTAAGTGGCGAGCAATTCATCACATTTGGCGTGCAACAGGTCCATGTTTATATTGCTGGTGCATGATAGAATAGATCGATTAATAGACATGATATACGTAATCTGATCGTTTGTATAAATAATTCGATCATAAACCAAATCAACCTAACATCAACATAGAATATTAACTAGAGATTTGGATTTAAAATCTAACACAAATATATATACAAATTTCTTTAATATTTTACCTCAACGGTGGCCATTTCGAAATGGAAAAGCTAATGAAGAAACTAGTTTAAAGATTCTAAGAAGAGAAGAAAAAGTGAATGTGATGCTTTGGTGAGTGAAGAGATTTTATCAGGAGGAGAGCTATTTATAGTAGAAGCAAATGATTTACAATAATTTATTTTAATAATTTAAAGATTAAAAATCATTTGTTAATTTTTTTTAAATTGTCTACAATATCATTAAAGAATCATCATGATGGATATTGCACATGAAAGCATCTTTTTCCATATATAAAAGAGCTTATGTACTATTTTACACCTCATGCCACATAGATGTAGAACATCATCACTTAACCATTACTCGTCAAGTTGTAACTAAAAAAAAAAAATTGGCTTCAACTAAGAACTTTTATTTGTTTTACTAAAATTAAGTGTAATTAATAATGCGAGATAATATTTTGAAGAGTTTTTGTATTCTTCTTCTGTGACCACAGTGAACGTTACAACAAACCTTTCATGTTATTAACGTTGAACTCTGATTAAACGTACGTTACAACTTCTCATTTGACGTTGAACGATTTTAGAAATTCCATGGTCATTAAAACTTGCATTAATGTCTGCTAAAGCATCTTTATTCTCTTTGATTAACCCGATGATCACTGTTCTTTTCACTAGGTGTGGCGCGTTTAATTATTTTGTATTCTATACATAATTTCTTTTGTTCGGGTAGATTATGGACGTTGTAGACGCTCTAGCATGTTTTAACTTCCTCGATTCTATGTTGTGTGTGCAGCGGCGAAGCTACTTAGATCAATATATTCACAGAATTTAAGATATTTTTTCTTTATAAAATCCTGAATAATTAGCCTCTTTAATTATAACGATTTTTTACGTATTTAGTACTACGGTACTGCTCTATTAAAAATTTTAAATCGGTACCATTACCAGGCAGGTATATTTGACTATGACGACGTGGCTACAAGTTAAAGCGGGCCCAGGTGAGTGTGAGCCAGGTAGGATTCTCGTGAGTGTGGACCCACGTACCACCAGTTTACTTATTTTTTGGGGTCAAATACACAATTTAAGCATCTAAAAGCCTATCAAAATAAATAACATATAAAACTAATAATATTTATTTGAAAAAGAAAATTCACATTGTATATATTTCTCATATCTAGTAGTCTCACTACATCTTGCTTAAAAGATATTTCTCAAAGTAGATTTTATGTAAGGTATTCTTCTTCGCTTCGTTTTTTTTGAGGTGGGGTATTAATGTTAAATCTTCTTCGCTTCGTTGTTTGCTGAACAAACAGTAGTAGTGACCAGCGACGAATAACACGTATTATTATTCGTTTAATTGTTTTTAGCAATCAACAAAATATATAATTAGGAAATTCCTAAAAACATGTCTAAATTATTACATCATGACTATGTAAACTCCAAATAATCTTATAATATAATTAGATGAAAAAAAAATAGATCATAATCGGCAGACATGTAATAAAAATTTCGGCTACTACACTAAATATTGAATAAATAAATACAACAGGATTACAAAAAGTGGTTCGTTACATCAAAAATATTTCGTAACCAAAATTTTAGATTGCTATTAAAATAATAGTTTCAAAACGAATATAGACTAATCGTCAAAATATATCATCAACCATTCAACTATGAAAAAAACATAGTTTAATATTTATAGTTGTTATCATGATCGCTTACGACCGCGTAAATGTCTTAGGTTAACTAGTTTATAGTTTTGTGAGAAATCTATTGTTCATTTTTTCTCATTTTATATTACATCTTAATAAATGATAGATTCTTAATTTTCTTAAATCTAAGGCGGTACCATTGAAGTACGAATTCACTATTATTGATAGTGTAAATGACATACTAATACAAGTTATTAGATTTTACAACTTCTTAGGCCATTCGATAACGTTCTTCACGTATTATCAGTGTATTATATAACCTACCCATCTATGTAAATAGGTTTTAGTTGTGGCGATATATCGAGAAAATTGTGATCAAGATTCCACATGTGTATACAGGCTACGTACTCACAATCTGTAAAGATGGCCAGCCGAAAAGCTGGTAAAAAGAGTTGGATGGCTAAGATGACCCCATTCACTTGGTCCCATTAATTGTATATATTTCTGTCCGAAAACTAACTAAAGCACCAATAAAAGATTAGGTAAAGGGAAAAAAAAAAAAAAAAAAGATTAGACATCTTAGGCACAAGTCAACACCGGAGATCGATTCGATCGGTTAAACAATTTTACAGTACTGTCTTATCACATTGATGCGTTCGTCACTTTATTTTGAAGTTCAAGAAATGTTTATTTGGTCATAGATATTAATAAATAGCACCATCGTTTGGTCTTCGGTCCAGATCGTTGTCTAAATATAACTGTTAGGAAGCTTAAAAAGCATATCTTAATTTCATCACGAACCAGAGATATGGATATATCCCTTACCCCTTCACTCTAGCTTTAATTAATAGATACTTTTCGACGTAATTGAAAAATATTTATAATGTAGATCTGAAAAAGTTGTAAATAATTCACTTTTGGTGTCCCAGTTATGATAATCGTCCATGTCTTGAACATGTGTAACGCTAAAGCTGAACAAACTGAAGTCTGAAGGATATCTGTATGTCTCGAGATTTGTATATTTATTTAATTATTTGTATACGTTTGATTATACGCCGTTGAGTTAAGAAGAAGATTAAATCTGATGGTAGAGGATTCATATTGTAGGGTTGGTTTCGAAAGAAGAGAATCTCTTTGCAGCCAAATACAGTTGGGGCATGACGGTGGAAAATTCTTTTTAAATTAAACTACAAACACTTAAAAGTGTCAGTCGAAGAGGGTCGTTTTGCCCGTTTGATTCTTTCTGAATTATTTCTAAAGTCTCATTTTGATTTTGTCAGAATAATCTCGGTTTGCTTGGTCTAGAATATATATCCATATGGTAATTAGTCTATAGACAAATATATGAGTATCAAATTTGGATGTACAAGGATCAATAAGTACAGATTTCTAGTGTGTCCATCCCTTAATTTTTTTTTGTTTTGACAACATCCCTTAATTATTTATGATGGATTATTTGGATGAAATTCGGTATGACTATATCAGTATGTTGCGCGAGAAAAAATTATCAAAATAGTTTTGATTTTGAAAAGTCTCGAAAATATTGTAGGAAAATTTAAAACTCATCGAATTTAGCATAAATTTTATTTAATTACTAAAATTTTCTGGTTTTTTTCTATCTTCTACAAAACTAAAATATTCTATAATATAATTGGTCTTTTTGGAATAACAAACAAGAGAACGTTTATTGGGCTTAACCGTTACTGGGCTCTTAGAGTTGGGAATTGAGGCCTGACTTAGAAGCCCAATAAATGTTCTCTTTCTATATTATTACATAACTTTCTCCCATGCAGATGAGTACACTCCGTCGGAAACATTATGAACTTCCGAAATATATGGTTTACAAAGCCGAAGAAGACTTCTCTTGTTTTTTTAATATTATAGCCGTAACTCTAAAGTCTTAAACAAGAAAAGATAGCTTAATTTGTGAGTGTGTATGTTAAGGATTATAAAATATCAAATAGTTCCCTTTTAGTGGTTTTTTTTGTCTGTATTAAACCAACCTCATGACGTGAATGCGAATATTCAGATGTACGTGCAGGCATGTATATATTCAGATGTACGTATACGTATAAATGCATAGTTACTATTGTACCATTTATTTTTAGAAAATAAATTATGTAAACGGGAAGACTACAAGTCGTAGTTAAGGATTACCACATGACCTTTTCTTCGTACTCCAAATTTAAACATTCCTCAAACAGAAACAACAAATCTTTCTCTCTCATTGTCTTTTAATCCTCTTTATTCTTCTTTTCTTGATTTCTTCTCATTCTTTTGACAAAAACAAACCCTTTATTTGAACTATATTTATCTTTATCTTCTTTTTGTCTCTTGACTCCCTTTTTTGAAGGTTTGTTTTTTTTTCTTTATGCTGCCTCCTCATTAAAGTCAGTTGCATAACTATCTCCAGGAAATTATATCGAATCAAAACCAACGGTGGGCATTTTCTAGGATTCGAATTAATTTCAGAGTACGAGCAGAGATCAGGAAAACAACGATGGGTTTGAAAGATGAGGAGTCTTCAGAAGAGCCAAAGGGACAAGGGACGTTAAGCAGAAAGAACAGCCACAGCTCTTTGTGTCCGACAGATGATGATGAAGAAGACGAAGACAAGAAGCTTGAACTCGGTCCCATGATCGCTCTTAAAGAACAGCTCGAGAAAGACAAGGTTTTGATCCCTCTTGTTCTGTTTTGTTTGTTTGATGTTATACGTCTGAGTGTTTGACATATATAATAACGGGTGAATTTGGTTTTCAAAATCTACACCACAATCTAATCATTTTTCTACCATTAAAAATCTATTGTTTAGGATGATGAAAGCTTGAGGAGATGGAAAGAACAACTTCTAGGCAGCGTGGATATGGAGGAGGTTGGAGGTAAGCCTAATTCCAACACTCGGACTGGATGTCTCTTGGTTTCATAGCAAATAATTTGGGTTTGAGATCCTATTGGCCATTGATTACAAATTGTGATTCGTCTCGAATCAGATGTCTATTGGCTCATGTATGATATTTTTAGGTAATGTTAAGAACAAAAGAAAATATCGTTTAACAGCTGTAGAGTTAATTAACGTAAAATAAGATTATACCAATTAACCATATAAAAAGATTATTTTCGTATAAAGAATACAGTATATGTCATTATTTAGACTTAGATAAATAACGGTAACTGCTCTGCTGGAATTCAGTAACTAGCCCATATTGAATGGTATTTTTCTATATATTATAGATTGTTGATAGATATTTGTAAGGTTTTGATAGAATAACAAAATGTAAATGCAGAGACTCCGGATCCGGTGGTAAAGATAATGAACTTAACAATTAGGTCGCCGGATAGAGAAGACATGGTATTGACGGTCCCGGAAAACGGAAAACCGACATCGAAAGGACCATGGTTTACTCTCAAAGAAGGTTCTAAGTACACTCTCGTATTTACTTTCCGAGTGACCAACAACATTGTGTCCGGCCTCCGGTACAGCAATACGGTTTGGAAGACTGGTATCAAGGGTATGTTTTGCCTTTTCATGCACTTGTGTACCACAATTACTCAAGTGCATGCAATCAAATTTAGAAGCTTTTTCTCTAAATTTTTGTTGTTGTTGTTTTACTCTTTTGTTGACCACAGTGTATAGTAGAAAGGAGATGTTAGGAACATTTAGTCCACAGGCGGAACCATATAACCATGTCATGTTTGAAGAATCAACGCCCTCTGGTATGCTTGTTAGAGGCTCCTATTCCGTTAAATCTAAGGTATTAAAAATCAAATCGTTAATTTTCTTGAATCATGCATAATCGTACGTCTATTAAGACTTTGAAATCATGTTTATATAAAATTTATTTCCAAGGAAAACAAAAATAAGATTTTGCTTTAAATAGTACTAGTCAAACATATTTCAAGTTGATCTGTGGCAAATAGTGATAATCATATCTTTATCATCATTACAATTACTTTTGAACTTTGACGACTCAAACTCATCTTCATTTTCCCAATTATTTGTTGAATTGCTGGTTAGGGATTTGAAAAGATGTATTATGATTTAGCCATTCTTTGTTGCATTATTTAGATAAATTACGTATTCTCTTATCTCTTATATATAATTATTTTTTTCAGTTCGTCGATGACGATAATAAGTGCTACTTGGAGAACAACTACACCTTCGACATTCGCAAGAATTGGCTGTGATCCATCACATAAGTTAATGGAAGAAAGTTTCTCTTATTCACTACTGTTCGTGTCATTGTCAACTTTGTATTTTCTCAAAATTTTAATTTGTTCTTAACTTAACGTTTGTTTATATGGTAAATTTGTTCTTCGAGTATTTTTTCCTCCATAAGTTACTATTTTCGGATTATGTTCTATTTTGCAAGCTCAATATATACAAGTATAGATCTTAAATTCATGCGAAGTATAAAACCCAATTTTACGTTGCTGTAAAATAAATGAATCATCGTTTACATATGTCAGCTTCTTTTTTTTTTTTTTTTCATATTGCAAATTATTTGTAAAATCTAATAATTAATTTTGGGTTGGTTTTTATACTCTGCAATTGAATCCAACAATAAAGAAAAGGCTAACCGAAATTTCACAGGCTTTTCAGTCAAAAGCGAATAGTTTTAAACTAAAACAAAATTCTATGATTCTTTTTTATTTTTAAAGTCCTTGTTCTCAGTTTCAATATCCATTACCATTTTCAAAATTTAACTTCAGTTTGCCATAGATATATTTTGTTGCGCTCCACAAGTTTACGAAAATTCATCATCGATCAGTATACTGATATACGGTAAAGAGATTTTTTTACTAATTCGCTAAATGTTACCGGTAATTAATTTATTATATAGTCCGGAAAAAGTTAATAAAAAGATAGTAGTAGAAGAGAGCATTTAAGGAAATTGTACACTTCAAGAAAAATGAATGACTTACTTAAATGCATCTCGGTGCACTGCACTATCAGTCTCGTCTTTAACTCTTGTGGAGGTCAGAAGATAAAGAACCTGATTTAATCAACAAAAATATTTTCGTGTCATGACAAAACCTCTATATAAATAAAGCCAATAACATTCTCAAATATACAAATTTCAACTTGCCACAACCAAAACCAAAACCAAATTTCAACATGAAGAAGACCTACAAGTTTCAAAGCCTCTTCTCTTCTCTCATCTTCCTTATTCTTCTCTTCACACTCCTATCAATTTCGAGAGCTGCCGCCGTCGGCTTCGGTGGTGTCTGCCGACATCCGCCTTCACAAAACAGCTGCAAGACATGCATGACGGAGCAAATGAAATACGACTGTCCTAAGTGCGTGCCGGTGCTCCGATGCATGGCTCGTTGCCTTTGGGGTGGTGTGTCTCAGAGAAAGTGTACCACCACATGTGGCTGCGACACCATGGCCAAGCCATCGCTGCTTGAGTGTAAACGCTGCGTGTCGAGGTGTAAGTGCAGTTGTGCGTCTTAGGAACTAATCGACTTAATTGTCTCTTTGATGTTGAAATAATGTGTTAATTAATGTTTGGATCTTTGTCGTTGAACTCTGTGTTATTTTTGTTGAATGCTACGTATAGTTCATATTTATATATAATCACACTTATAAAAGGAAATCCGATTATTTAATTTATGATAACATTTTTTAATCATGCAACGCGATAAAGTATTTGTATTATTAATATGGATCCGAATTTGAGTTTTAAGACTATTATTGTAAAACTACGTGACGTTTTCATGGTTGTAAGACGGCGCGTATTCCGTATACATACAAAAAGTCGTTAGTAAATTTAACGGAAAATAGACGGATTAAACACAAAAGAAAGATAAATCTATCATACGCCGGGAAAATTGACCGCCGTCATTCTCTGAGAAATCTCTGGAAACATCTGAAACCCAAATACTGAGCACAGAATCTCTCCATTTCCTCGCCGCCTTTCTCCCTACACATTTCTTCCTCCACCGCTTCTTCCCAGTAAAGAGGCCACGCACCGCCTTGTCCGACGTCGACTCCGAGATCGTAGTTAGACCACCATTGATTCTCGTCTCTGGTCTCAGAGATTGCATCCAGTATTTCCTGCATCCCGACGATCCGACGGCTTACTTTCCTCCGAGCTTCTCTGATCGTCGGATCTAAACCAGGGACGGAGTCGAGTTTCAGAAGCAGAGACATCAGCGTCTCGTTCATCCGCAGCCGTTCCTTCTCATCGCTTCTGATGGCGTCCACCGTTTCCTGCCGTTGGATCATGCTCTGTACGCGATTCGCTTCCCGATTGACGGACAAGATTTTCTTGTAGAGCCTTCTGATCCTGTAAGAACGGTAGCCGGACTGGATCCGCGCTGCGGCGGAGGCGTTAGCCTGGACGGCGGATTTCGCCGCCGGAGATGGGACTTCAATCGGGATTTCTGTGGTTGATGGAGGGGTAATATGGTCACTATAGTAAGTGTGGATAACGGTGGTTGTTGCCGACGATGAGAATTTTCTTGAACTTTTCATTCTTTTTTCCTTTACTTTTCGTTTCTGATATGGATGATTTTTTTGTGACGGTGGTCGTTACTGACACATAACTCGTGAATGTTGAATATATATGACTCACATAGGTAATTTATTTTCTGTTCTTTATTGTCAACACTCACAGTTAAATTCTAAAGACCAATTATTGCAAGTTCTTGTCCAAGCGACCGACCGTTATTAAAGGACCCATTCACACTCGATGATAATCGCTTTTATATAAGATAGAAAGTTTTTAAATTCCGTTGTCTTCTTTATGAAAGATTCAGTAACGTTTACTGTATTTAACACGAATATCGAGATGACTTATTCTTATAATTATTAATCGGATAGGGGTTATCTACTTAATCATATTCATACCCCATGATCTTTCTTTCAACCATTTTTCCTGCAAATAAAGAAAAATTAATTAATATGTGAAAGCAAATCTAATCAACTACGATATTGCAGAGAAGGAAATGTTTAAAACTAAATCATACACATTACCCGCGAAAGCTCATCAAGGCAGCGAAGGTACAATTTTCCCTGTGCATGTTCCAAACCCAACATTGTAACCATCTCCCTACACCCATTTAATCATAACCGTCATTTGATTAGCAAGCGTAAACCAAAACATCATAATACAAATTCATAATCATATAGAATAGTTGGGGGAAAAAATGACAAACCAAGCAGAAACTGTGTAAATTAGCTGATACAAAACATTACCTTGCATACACCTGAGAAGGTCACCTGATCTCCGTCTTGCAGAAACGTCTGACTCGTTCCGTTCAGCGATAGAGGCTTTTGTCCATTCCAAGTTAACTCAAGTAGACACCCATATGAATCTGCCTCCTGCGTTTAGAATCAAGAAACAAGCGATCTTTCGTGTTATTTTTTTTTAACCAGCACATGATAACATGGACAAGAGAACCGGTTAGCAAGAGTTTACGGGTCCGCTTATGGTTCCAGTTCCAAGGAGATCACCAGGCCTCAAATTGCAACCGTTAACGGTATGATGTGCTAGCTGCTGCGTTATGGTCCAATATCTGTCACAACAAAGTTTATAAGAGTTGGAAGCAAAACAGGTTTATTATATGGAGGAATTGGTAAACTTAGAAAGGAACTCACAAATTTTGGAAGTTGCTCTTTGTTATTACACAAGAATCATCTTTGCCAGAAGGCTTAAGTTGAACCTACAAGAGCAAAGAAACATGATGTTTATTTCTATTCAATCCACCATAAGCTGTAGGTTGATAGCAATAAAATTAATCTCCACGAGTAATGTCAAGTGCTACCTCCAAGGAAATATCGTAATTTACAGATTCTTTCTCAGCCAAATATGGCAATGGAGGTGGATCCTGCAACAAGTATAAGTTAGACTAGAGAAACAATGACTGCGTGACACAAAAAGAATGTGACACCTAGGTACCAACCTGCTTGGGAGCTTGACAACCGAAAGGTTTAAGAGCATCTAAGGTAACAATCCAAGGGGATACCGTAGTCCCTACGAAACAACAAAAACAACATTCATCGAAGTTCTTTGCTCAAATACTCCTACTAGTGGAGATGAAATAGAAGTTATGAAGCCAAAAATAAACTTGAAAACTAATTCCTCACCAAAACTCTTTCCCAGGAAAGGCCCAAGAGGCACGTACTCCCAAGCCTGAATATCCCTAGCTATAACAACAAACAATTCATAAGACCGGTCACCTACGGTCAGGGAAAAGATGAATCATAGAAAACCATAATAAAGTGAGTACCACTCCAGTCATTCATCAGTACAAGACCAAATATATGATCGGCTGCATTATTCACGTCAATAGGCTTTCCCAATTCATTTCCTGGACCAACCACAGCAGCCTGAATATCACATGGCATAAGAGAGGTTGAATTAATTGTGGAGTTGTCAATGGTGTTATGCTTAACTTAACACCAAATAGCTCCAACCATATCATTCTAAAACAAAAGTCTCCACATAATTGAGCCATGGGATGCTTACCATTTCGAGCTCAAAATCAAGTTTCTGTGAAGGTCCAAAATATGGTGTAGAGTCTCCTTGTGGATGCCCCTGACCTCTGGGAAAAAGCAAAACAAACTGGGATTAGCATTTTATTAATTTGTTTACAAGAAATCTTACCATCTTCAATATTGGTTACAACTATTTTTCTTGCCAAAGCAATAAAACCTTGCATGATGCATGACTTCAAATATGGCATGTGAATTCTTAACAGCCTAACCTTGGTCGAATAATGTCAGTCCCCGAGATGACAATAGACGATGCCCGTCCATGATATGCGATGGGAAGACGAAACCTGAAAAAAAAAGTGGTAATATCATGAAAATTTTCAGATTCAGCGGCTTTACATACAACTAATTCAACAAGAAATCCTCAGCTCAAAAGTAACATCAAATGTACCAATTTGGGTTTATCGGATTCTGAGGCCCACGGAACATGAGCCCGCAGTTCTTGGCGTGATGCATGGATGCAAAGAAGTCTGTATAGTCTCCAATCACCATAGGAACAATCATTTCTACTTTATTCTGCAGATATACAGTGATGAAAGTTAGTAACAGATCGCAAAACAATATATCTCACCTGTTTGGGGAACACAATTTTTTTTTCACAATACCAACCATCTCATAGAATGACTTTCTCCTCAAAACATCATTATCTCGTAGTGTGGGTTCATTAGCTGCATCAAAAACAAACCAAAACCAAAACCTTAAATAAACTAATCTCCACATAATCCAAAGGAAACAATAGGATCAAACCCATACATGACAAGAGCCTTTGAAGCGTAGAACGCGCTTCCTTCCACGCAGGCCGTCCCATGGCCAAGAACTTATTCAGGTTAGGCTGAAAACAGAGCAACAGGGGCTAAAAATCAACAAATACACCATAAAATAAACAGAACCTTATGATCCTCTAGAAACATCCCAAAGAGTAACACCAACCTCTACAGAACAGAATCAGTCTTCTCACTAAGTGTGAGCAATAAACTATACCATCAGAACATATAGCAACGGAAAACTCAAACTCTACCACATAATTAACTGAAGCAATGAACAATTTGAATAGAACAACGAAATGTTTCTAGCTAAAATGGATCTGATTTACTCAGTAAATGGCTAATAAGGCGGATGTTTCGTCGATGACGCAATCCAGATCTAATGACCAACTTAACCATGGAGTAAACTTCAAAAAATATCAGATTCAAATACCAAATATGATCAAATCATCCACAGATAAGTTCACAGGACAATACATGGTAATCCGAATTAACAGGAATCGAAAAACGAACCTGAAGGAAGCAATCGGCGTCCTTGAGGATCGGACCATCGAAAAGCCCAGCTTCGGAGATCGCGGAGAGGTCCAGGACGGAATCGCCGATAGCGACGCCAGGACGTGGTGTCGAGTTGGATTCCGGCTTGAAGACACCGTAAGGGAGGTTCTGGATAGGGAAGTGAGAGTCTGGAGCAACATCGACGAATGACTTCAGCAACGCCATGGACGATGAAGAGACTGGAAACGGCGACGTATGATTCTCCGGCGAAGCTTCCAAAGCTCAGCACAAATTCGAGTACAGAGATAGAGAGAGGACAGTTATCTCGAGGTGGTAGGTATATGGAGATTTTTTTTTTAAGCTACCGTTCTTGGGATGATGACTGCGAAAGGTGACGTCATATTAACATGAGATTACAGTTGTCCAATTAAATAATTCAAATTTGTGAAGGGAGTGTATATTTATTTTACTATTTATACAGAAGATTTTTAATAACAAGAAATACATATAAGATGGTCACAGACAGATAAACTGAAACTATATACTCCATTGCTGCCAATGCAGCGCTGTGTTAGGGAAAAAAAGAACAAAATATCCAAATGAAAAAATAGGGAAAGAAATATATAACTCGAATGTCTTTTTGTTGTTTTAAAACAACCACACACACAAATTAAAGTCTCGCAGCCAAAAGAATATAATTGTGAGTAGTCGTTTAATCATAATGCAATGCATATTTTTTCTCTCAGTGGATTGAAACTAGTAGTAAGACGGAGGAGACGCATACGAGACGCTTGGAATCGGTGGAAGCGACGTGTCAGAGTAGGAAGGAGGAGACGGTGGTGGTGGTGATGATGTGTATGAATATTCAGGAGTTGGTTCGTAACTCGGAGGTGCTTGTGGAGGATGGCCGTCTGTACATCCCTTTGGTGGTGGCGGAGACTGGCTTGGTGAATAGTAGTACTCAGTCGGTGGAGGAGGACTTTGTGTTTCCGACGGGTAGTAGACCGGTGATGGTGGTGGTGGACTTTGTGTTTCCGTCGGGTAGTAGACCGGTGATGGTGGTGGTGGACTTTTTGTCACCGGTGCATAGTATACCGGAGATGGCGGTGGAGGGCTTTGTGTTTCTGGTGCATAGTATACCGGTGATGGTGGTGGAGGGCTTTGTGTTTCTGGTGCATAGTATACCGGTGATGGTGGTGGCGCGCTTTGTGTTTCCGGTGCATAGTATACCGGTGATGGTGGTGGCGGGCTTTGTATTTCCGGTGCATAGTATACCGGTGATGGTGGTGGCGGGCTTTGTGTCACGGGTTCGTAGTATACAACAGGCGGTGGCGGAGATGATTCAGGACATGGAGGCGGTGGACTTGGAGGAGGCGGAGGTGGAGATGAGTATACGTAAGGTGGAGGCGGAGATGAGTATACATATGGTGGAGGTGGAGGAGGTGAATATACGTAAGGCGGTGGAGGAGATGAGTACACGTAAGGAGGAGGTGGAGGAGATGAGTATACGTAAGGCGGTGGAGGAGGAGATGAGTATACATAGGGCGGTGGAGGAGATGGTGATGGTGGTGGTGGTGGTGGAGGGTAAGCTCTAACGGTAGGCGACATCTTGGAAGAAGGAGGCGGTGGTGGAGGGTATGCTCTGACGGTAGGCGACATCTTGGACGACGGTGGTGGTGGCGGAGAGTATGCTCTGACGGTAGGCGACATCTTAGACGAAGGTGGAGGTGGCGAACGGTAAATGTAAACCGGCGGAGGAAGTGTCCGGACGAGGGGTGACATCTTGAACGTCGGTGGTGGTGGAGAGAAGATGTTGAAACATCCAAACTTGCTGCAATCAACAGGACGAGCGAGCAGAGACAAACACTCTTTAGCCGATCTTTGACGAGCCAAACCGGTGATACAGTTCATGGAGCCGTTCACCATGGTGTCGGCTGCGGACAGAGCGGCGCATATAGGAGCACGGCCGGTGAAGAAGTTGGAAGAGTAAGTGAAGTTCTCAAGGTTAGGAAGCTGGCAGATACTTGGAGGAATGACTCCTGCGAAGCCATTGTTAGCCACGTGAAGCTCTTCTAAGCTCTTCATGTTCCCGACGCTAGACGGTAACGGACCACGCAGACGGTTTGAACTGATGTCGAAAACCGTCACTTTCTTGAGATTTCCGATCTGAGGAGGTAAACAACCGGTCAAGTTATCGTTGGAGAGGATAAGCTCGTTGAGTGTTTTCCCCATTTGACCGATACTCCCCGGTATGCATCCTCCGAGATCATTGTCTGCAAGAACCAGAGCGGAAACTGGGGAATTCCCCATGTTCTCGGGAATTCCAAACCGGAACCGGTTGTGGTTCAAGAATATAGCGTCGAGCTTCCTGTCGAAGAGCTTCGAGGGGATCTTACCTTCGAACTCGTTGAAGCGGAGATCCAAGAACTTGAGGGAAGGCAAAGAGAGGACAACCTTAGGGAACTTGCCGACGAATCGGTTGTTGCTAAGATCAAGCTCGTGGAGAAGCTTCATGCGATTGAAAGTGAGAGGGACTTCACCGCAGAAACGGTTTGAGTTAAGGTGGAAAAGAGCGAGATCGCGGAGGAGACCAAGCTCGGCAGGCAAGTAACCAGCCATGTCGGCGTGGTTGAGGTCAATGCCTGCAACGACTCGGGTTTTTGGGTACAAAGGAGAAGGAGCACAGTAGATTCCATTGTAGGAGCAAACATTTGAACCATTCCAATTGGCTGTGAAGTTGAAAGGGTCAGAGAAGATTGCTTGTTTCCATGATTGGAGAGCAATGTAGGCGTCACGCAGCGTCGGGTTCTCGAACTTGAGCTTCGGGTCTACTTTGATATGACTGCCCAAACCGCTTTCATCGTCAGCTTTGATCTGTAAGAAACAAACGGAGGAGATCAAGAGGAAGAGGGACAAGAAGAGACGAAGAGGAGGGAACAACATTCTTTATGGGTCAAGAAACCCACTTTTTACTTATTATGACATCTAATATCTCTATCTGCTCCATCTTTATAAAACAGTTTCGAAACTCCAAACTCGTATCTCTTTCTCTCTCTCTTTTTTTTTTACTGAATTTGTCAATTAGTGACATGTTTACACGTTGAGGAAAGCGTAGAGTAGACCAAAAAAAAGAGCTGACCTTTCCGCGGAGATAAAACCATCGTCACTGATTTTCTCAAACTTGGATGCACGTTCCTAGAGATTCTCTGATGTTTAAAAAATGAAAGAATAATCAGCCGTCAACGTTTGATCATATAAAATATACATTTGAATATGTTTATAACTCAAAATGACATTGGTGCACGATCTATGGAACAGAAGCGGTCAAAGGAAGACACAAACCTGCTCGCACGACCAAATGGGAACAAAACTTGGACGCATGTCTGTCACAAAACGTGTATATCTACCATCATTCCTTAGATCTTTCAACGAATCCTATGATTAAAAGTTGTTCTTCAGTTGGTAAGTCTTCCAAATGTGAGCAACAAGCATACACTCAAGATCTACACTCAAGATCGACATCATTTTTTCGGTTTGTAGAATAATCTGAATAGTGTGATCCTAATCTCTCTGTTATAATCCCGTGCAAGGTTATCATCATTGATCAATTGTCAGTTTCTTCAATCAAAGATTTCATTCTATAGTAGAAAGCTAGAGCCTTAAGCCACCTGATTCTTACTGGCCTTGAGCTCAAAATCGAAGGTAATGTTAACAGAAAATCGGGAATCAGGAAGGAACACAAAACCTCAGAACAGACAAGTGACGTTTTTCATAGTGGATAAAATACAATCAAATGGATCACTCATCACTGTATTCATAAAATCTAGTAGACACTTTAGTTCTAAAAAAACTTAAGAATTCACAGATATAGGTTTTAGATTTCAACAAAGGCTTCGATTAGTTGGTTCAATTAGGAAGATAACTGATTTGTGGAACTCTATATGCAGAACGAATCACCAATTCCATACGTGGTCATTGATCACAGTGTTCAAGAACACTACACTGATACTCGTACTCCTAGGGACGAAACCTACTCGATGTCCGAGTCGAAAGGGTAAGTGTCCGAACCTGGAGGAAGTCATTTGAGTCTACGAGGATCGGAGCAGAATCGAAGATCCTGGAAAACTCGCCGATAAAGATGCGTACTAAGGGTCTAATGTATCAAGAGTCAGGACGATAGAAGAATTTCAGCGACACCGTGGCTGGGTGGAGAAGGAGGAAGACGAAAAATACGGTGGAGTATCGTTCACCGGGGATAAATTCGTCGTCATCATAGCTCCCGGTAAGAATGCCTCGCCGGAAACGGCTTCAAGCTGACCGGGAACATCTCCCGTGCTTTTGTAGCCCAAAATCGTACATAGGCCCACAAAAGCGTTTATTTGGGCTTTTTCAGTGGCTTTTGCTGGTTTCGGATTGATTTGGGCTTTGAAGACCGGCCCAAATTAAACTTCCCAATATAGGCCCACAAAAACGTTTTCTTCACTCTCGAAACGTGTCCAAACTGTTGAGTCTGTTTCGGATGGATTAATGCTTGATACCTTTGAGATTTTTTTATAAGAATAAACAAGAACCATATACTAGTGCCATCACGTGTAAATGTGTAATATAGATAAGCCTCTCTATCCGCATAAAGCGATAAGCTTTACCGGTTGACAAATTAATTTTATATTCAACTACTATCTCATGACCAGCTTCAAAAATTTAATTAAAACGGAAACCTAAGATACATTGAACCTAGTCGGTTTTTAAGATTCATTGAACTAGGACGTATTTTGAGTTTACTCTATTTCTGGTTTCCGCGTAATCACACTGCAATCCAGGGAACGAATCTATCAAGGTGAAAATAATAAGTAGAAGCTGATAGATGCAATGCAATCAAAAAATCCCACGTGGCAACCACATTTTAACTTGCTTCTGGTGCGTGTTTACACGCGCTACGATGTACCCGTACGTGAGCTTACTGTTCTTACTCCATGTCAGCTTACTGGTAGTTTGGTAGTGGATAAAAATTTGTCACGGACATTAGTAAAAAAAATATTGACGTCCGTTTAATAATCACTTTTCATTTAATTTAGAAAAAGAGAAGAAATGTTCAAGATCTGAATCTGAAAAACGTAGATTGATGTTGAAAAGAGACAAGAACTCTGTTCTTTTGTTATAGGTGGAATTAAAATACGTAGAAACCATGCATCTCTTTTTCCCAAACTAGAACAATTCTCTATGATATTTATTGAACAATTCATGAAGAAAAAAAAAACTAATTCGTTTTGAAGCGAATGTATATGGACGCTATCGGGGCAACAATTGAAGTTTTGAGAATTAATTAGACAGCACATCCCAAAACTGTAATTAACCTAACGGATTTAGAGTTTCTCCGTTACACAAAACGCCGTTAATCCATTTGTCGCCATCATTTCACCACATGTTGTCATTTTTACCATTTTATCGTTTACTCTGTCAAAAAAGTCAAAGTCTTTGTCAACACAATGAAAACATCGCTAAATATATCTCTATATATACCACAATTCGTCGAAGATAGGAGAAATCACGAAAAGGGCATAAAATGGTAGAGATTCGGGGAAGATTTAACAGAACAGCGGCGGCTTTTAACGTGGCAGCGGCGCGTGCACGTCTGCCTTGCGACAGCAGCAGCGGAAGCGATCACTCTCCGGAGGATACATCGGATCTTTGGGATCTGGTTGAATCATTTATCGACAGAGAAGTGAAAGTTTTGCCGGAAGAGGTTCCTGAGGAAGATAACGACGATAAATCGGACATTGATGATGATGGAGACTACGAAGATGTGAAGGAGAGGTTACGAGAGATTTTGGAAAATCGCGGAGGCGAAGAAGGGCGGAGAATAATTGATGAGGCGGTAAAGGCAAGCGGGATCGTCGGAGAGAAACGCCACTTAATGGCTTTTCTACGTAACAAGGGTTTTGATGCAGGTAATAAATGCTTTTCAAGTTTCTACTACGTTATGTTTATAGGAAACTACATTTTATGTGATTGATTTTTTGAGGGATATTGGTTAAGATTGTTCCATATATAAATTCTAAACGCTCAAATCGGTTTTGAGAGTTTTTTCTTTTTGTTTGAATCGATTCTTCTAAACCTTGAGCTCTTTTTTAAATCGCCGAGCTTTGATCATTTGATTTGCATTTTTTTTTTGTTAGTTAATCTGTTGAAAAGTAACTAAGCCTATTCAAAGGAATACTTGGTTTAGGGGCGTGATTAGGAATGATTGAGAATTAAGCTTTATCTTGAGACTGGAAACTACTTTTGCCAAGAGGATAACAAATTTGAGCTTTGAGAAATGTCATCTGATTCTCTTTTATAGTTCTTGGCTAGTGTTGGCACTTCTTCCCCCCCCCCCCCCCCCATCACATTAGGATTTAGATGTGAATGTTGTTATGCAATGCTCTAGTGTCCGAAATTGAGTGAGAGATTGATGGATTTTGTAGCATATTTATCAAGTATATATATTATTATAAGACTGTTTTAAGAACAATTATTACTAGGTACAATTTCATAGTAATGATGTAATATTTGAAATTTTGTATGTACATGTTAATACCATAATGGATAATGGGATTGTAAATGTGAAAATACTGAAATGAAAAGATGAATCCATTTGCATACGTCTACTAGAAGAAAACGAAACTTTAACTAAATTGTTGGATCATTTTAACCTAGAAAATATAATAATAGCTCGGCTGGATTTCATGACCTTCTAAGATTTTATAGTTTTGGTATTAATATATGTATAATGCCATAAGTAATGGATATATATGGTGGGATTTAAATGTGTATATTCTAAAATGAGAAGATGAATCTATGTATAGGTCTATGCAAATCCCGATGGGAGAGATTCGGTAAGAACACGGCCGGGAAGTACGAGTACGTCGACGTTAAAAGAGGAGATAGTAACCGTTTTATCGTGGAGGCAAATCTTGCCGGAGAATTCGAGATTGCTCGGCCTACGACAAGATACCTTTCTCTCTTAGCTCAACTTCCAAGTGTCTTTATTGGAACACCTGAGGAGCTGAAGCAGCTAGTGAGAATCATGTGCTTTGAGATAAGACGGTCGATGAAGCGAGCGGAGATTCACGTGCCACCATGGAGGAGGAACGGTTATATGCAAGCCAAGTGGTTCGGTCACTATAAACGAACCTCTAATGAAGTGGTGACTAGGGTTAAGAGCTGTGACTGTGGACCGCACGTCGGTTTTAAGGAATCGCCTAAAACGGAGACGTTTAACGGATTCAATGAGGTAGAGAAAATGAGGAATGGTTTAAAGGTCGGTCAGCTCACGGTTGCTTTCAACGGCGGTGGGATGGGGTTTCAATAGTCGCAGAATAAATTATAGGCCTCTATAAGTTGATAATTGATAGTTTTTATATTATTTTGTAAATATAGATGAGTTTTAGGGGCAATCGATAAAGTTGTTGCTTAGATTTCGGCTATCTTGATTAGTACAAGATGGGCTTTTCCAATTTCAGCCCGTTATGTTACTGGCCCGGCTCTATGAACTTCTATAGTCACTCACGATCTCGTATTTCCGATTTATTAACCAACTTAATTTATAACATTAAACAAATGATAGCACTTAGAGCAAGTGTTGGACTTTTTTTCCGACACTTTTGGTCAAACAACTATTAAGCATTTTTACAATTTAGAAATAAACAAATGAAACTAAAATATAATAAAAAAAATCCATACCCAATGAATATTTGTTAAATAAGGCATATAGTAAAATAGTAAACAAAACGAAAATGATAATTAATTTGAATTTTGTAAAATCTTTTTCTTTTTGATTTTGGTAAAAGAATTTGATGTATTTCTTTAACATTTTCATTTAAAGTTTAATTGACAAATTAAAAACAGAGTATAGCAATTATTGAATAACAAATTAGTAAAATCACTGGAAAAAAAAACTTAAAATTTAAAAAATTAAAGTGCTAAAATATTATGCATTATTTGAATAAATGTTTATATAAAATAATTATGAATGATAATTTAGTATTTTTACGTGAAAAACTATGTAATATTTTAATCGTTAGACAATTTAATTGTTTTATGTATAGTAGTGATTGTATTCTAGGCTAATTCCATATACACGTTACTATATAACCAAAAAAAAACAATGATAAAATACAAAAGGAATGAAGCAAACAAAAACCTAATAACCTTTTGGTATTTAAACATCTTCTTCAATAAAGTCTCTCTCTCTCTCTCATTTTCTCTCTTCAACAGTAAACAATGAAGAAGCTCTACAGGAAAGGAACCGTACACCCGTCGCCGCAGGTAAAATCCGAGGACCATCTTCTTCCTCTCCTTCCCGTCGCTATCTTCTCATTAGCGGCAGTTCTCTCGCCCGAAGACCGTGAAGTTCTGGCCTACCTTATATCAACCGCCTCTTACTCCGGTGACCGAAACCCTACCTCTCGCCTCAATAAAACCAAACCTCACAAGAAATCTCATTTCGACAATCACTCGCCTCTCTTCCACTGCGACTGTTTCAGCTGCTACACGAGTTACTGGGTCAGATGGGACTCGTCGCCAAGTCGCCAGCAGATTCATGAAATCATAGACGCTTTCGAAGACAGCTTGGAGAAGAAGAAGCAGACGAGTAAGAAGAAGAACACAAGTGGAAAGAAAGATCGGAGAAAGCGTTCAGGAAAATCTTCAGCTCTCGCTAGTTCTAGCTTTGGTACGGATGATTCCGAGATTCCGAGTCCACTCGGTGAGTCAATTGCGAGTCCGTGTCCGTGTACGAGTTCGAGCGAGTTGGTTGATGGTAGTGGTGGCTGCCACGGCGGCTTGGAATCGACGGAAGAGTTTCGTACTGGAGATGTTGGTGAAGAGGTGGAGGACGAGGAGGAGGAGGAGAAGGGGTCTGTCAGGAGATTTGTGAGTTTCATTGGTGAGAAAGTTTTTGGTGTTTGGGGATAAGAAAATTTTGACGAGAAAATTTCAATAATTAAAAAGCTATAGATGTTTTTGTTAATTCGCTTGGATCTTTCTAGGCAAAAATGTTTGATTACCCGGAAGTTTTCATGTCTAAGCATTAAATGTACTATAATGCGACAAAACTATCATTGTATTATAACGTCTATGGGGTTATATCAAAAAGTTAGTATAGTTGCTCGTATTTAATACTTTTGTATGTATACACATTAACGATAATGGTGTGACCACAAAGTTAGAGAGATACAAAATTTGCATAAACTATTATTTTCTTACCGCCGGTATTAAGCTATATACAATTGAGCAGAATACAAAGTAGAATCGTTACTTCCTAGAAATAGCTAGACATGTAATTGGTAATCTATAGTCTTTTACTATGATACTTTGATGGAGGCTTTTACTAGAGTATTAGTAGTTTATAAAATGTAATAGATAATTATGCGTATATAATATTAAATTTGGTTCAACGATATCTTTTTGTGTTGCCCACCACCACAGCCATTTTTATGCTTCCCATGAATTGTTGTTGTCACATTATATGTCTGTACATTTTTGCCCTTTGCGGGTCACTCAATCTGATCCCTTTCATCAAAGCGTAAAGTCTAAAGTTAAAAGTATAAACTCAAAACTCCGATTCGTGAGCTGATAATGGAATATAAAGAATCATTTTGGAACTTCTTTTTGTAAGACATGTCAATCGATTGGGCCGTTAGACTTCTCACTTCCCCGTTCTTATTAGATCAGTATAGTTTGAAAACCACTTGTAATACGGACTACTATGATTCGATGTCGATATATATGTTTTTTTTTGTATCTTTTGTCCAGTTTATAAATGAATTTCGAATTGTTGACCTACAATCTTACTCAGCCTTCCCCACCCGGTTACTATTAGTATCCAGTTTTTGATTCTAATGTTCAGTTAAACATCTATTTTATTTAGGTAATCATAGTTCTGATTTGGTAATCCTTTATGTGGTGTTCCTTTTCTTGTGTTGGGATTTCTTGCAACTTGGAGAATAAAATCGGACCCCTTATCTACCGTACAAATTTGTTTTCCTCTTATTTTTTTTCATTCGAATGCAATTCAAAATATAAAATAAATAAATAAAACTGTGAACCATGCAAGACTTTTAAACGTGCAGTGAAGATGTTTGTTGGATCGGTAGGATATTATCATCCTCATCATCTACACGGAGGTACATATTTTAAAATCACCTGCCAATGAATAATCCAATGCAAAAGCTTAAAGCTTAAAATACCTAAAGTAATCAAAAGAACTCTCTCTGATCATCATTCATTCTTGTCTCTCGGGTTATGGTTTGTAACCACGATAGAATAAATAATTCATCATTTTTTGTTTTTCAGACAAAACGAGGGAACTAAATCCTAGAAATGCGGATATTCGAACATTGGTTTTCACAAGTAAATAGCGAAAGTGGAGACAGAATGGCTCTGGTCTCGGTGTAACACTTTACTCACATTTCCCCGCACAAGAAAAAGTATTTTTGTTCGGAGTGATAAAAAAATATGGCTTTTTTGTTTTAGAAATTTTTGTTGAGTATTTATACTATCTGAATCTTGTAATTTATCAACCAACTACGTATCTAGTAGACTTGTTGCGAGTATAGAGACTATCAAAAGATTCAAAACTGTAGAGACTAACAGTAATAACAGTACTTACTACTGCTACAATTTCTTAGGAAAATTGTTAAGAATTGTTGATGTTTGCTTCCACCTTATCGTTAAAACTATTTATTTAAAGATGTCATTATAGTCAGGGCCGTGCCTACGAAGGAGTTAAAGAAACCTTCGCCTACGGCCTCAAAATTTTATGAAATATTTTGAAAGCAAAAAATAGAATAAATTAGTATTATATATATTTATAAATATTCTAAGCTTATGTTCTTATCGTTAATATCTCAAGGTTTGTTTTTTAGAATCTAAAGTCAACTGTTATGTCCATAAATATTTTTCTTAACTTTTGAATTTTGTTTTTTGTATTTATATATTCATACATTTATTTTGCCTTTTTCATTTTTACCACATTATCTATTTTTTTTTTCAAAAAAAAAAATCACCAATTTCTTATTTTCTGTAATATGATTTATTTTATTTTTTACTTACCTTTAGTTTACAATTTAACTAATATATTACAGTGTAATCTCTATAAACTAATAACGTTGAATCATGAATTTTTACAAAAATATTAGTAATTTATAGTAATTATTAATTTAGAAATATACTATTTAGTTGATAAATTAATTTTAGAACTGATAAAAATATTAATTTATTTAGGTATTAATGAATCAAATACTAATTTATAAAGGTTTTACTGTATATACAATGTTAATTTTTTTTATTTTTTACAATGTTGTATCTTATGTATTACAATTATATATATACACCAAACATAAAATAATTTAAAATCTCTTTTATAAATAATTCTATTAATATTTTCTTTCACATAAATTAGTTATTTTTAAAATAATTATTTAATAAAAATGTTGTTTTTGTTTTTCGCATACGGCATTAAAAACTTTTGGCACGGTTCTGATTATAGTCATATGACTCATATTGATGTTTTTTCTTCAAAACTCATATTGATGTTTAATTACAACTTTTTAATGAAAAAAGTAAAATGTCAGAGGAAAAGATGTCATCAGTTATCACGACTGAGAGGAGGCGTGTCTGAGAGAGGTTTTGTTCAATAGTTTGGACTTAAACGTCAACGCAACGTCTCTGACTCGTTCTGTATCATTATTTCAATTTTTGTATATATAAACTTTTCAAAAGGCTAAAACCGAAGCCAATATTGAAGCAATCTGCCGGTAGATCATTCTTGACCAAAAAAATAAGATTCTCTTTTCATTCCGACTTTTTATTTTCATTTTCCTTTTCATTAATACAAACTAAACATAAGAATATTGCAACCATTTTTATTAATGTTTTTTTTGTTTGGCAACAGTTAGAACTTACAAGTGTCATATCAACACCAAACTTGTGTAAGTGTCTAACAATCGAATCATGTTTTCGAAAAGTTTATGCGACATTTGTATCACATTACCAATTAATGTTACGATGACAACTTTTAATCACTCATTCACGTTTGGGAAATTAGTATTCGTAAGGAAGAGTCCCCAACAAATACATGGCAAAAGAAATTAACAACTCGATCTCACACTTTTTTTTTGGTATCAAAACATGGCAAAACGAAACTAAATGGGCCGTTTGTAAAAAGGAAACGTAAAGCTAATATTCATGTTATAAACACCCAAGGCCCATCAAGAAACACTGAAATGGGTTTCAACCAAATTATCCTAAAACTAATCTTATTAAATCAATTTTAATTCTTATTAACGCTAAAAGTAAATAGCTGATCGACCCGATCCGGGTCAAAGTGGGTATTGACCCGCTAGAGCAAATTCAATTATACAAATGAATGACCACAACCAACATAGACCAACGGTTTGTTCTAAGTTGAACCGGATCAACCAGTTTTAAAGATAATTTGTCCAAGATTATTCAAATTTAGAATTCCAATCAGTTAACACTATTGCTAAACTTTGTGGAATGGTGGAATGGTGGAAAAATTTCATTCCATAAGAATTTTGTCAATCAGAAAACTTGCAAAAAAATGTCAAAACTCGAATTCTGCGGAATAGCGGACATACCTAAAAAAATACAAAGAAAATTTGATTAAGTAAAAAAATATGTTTCAGGTAGCTTATTTACGGAATTAATATTTTATATTATTTAATTATATAACTAATTATATTTATTATTTAAATAAATATATTTATACTATATATAGTTATATAATAAGTATATTATATCTTAGATTAAATACTACAATATAGTTATATATTTTATAGTAAAAAAAATAAAAATAAAAATAAATAATTACAATAAAAATTTTATTTTTTTCTAATTATATTAAAATTATATTTTTTATAATAATTAATATTTTAATTTTTATTATATTAAAAATATATAAAATATATTATTATAAAAATTAATTTTATATATTTTCTTTCATTATACCATTCCACATAATTTATCCAATTATATCATTTAATTAATTATTCTATTATTCTATATTTTGCCATTTGACAGCTTAATTTTATCAGCCATTCCACAGTTTTTATAGTGTTACCAATACGAGCCACATCATCTTGTTCAAATTTTATTCAAATTCAGAATTCTCACCTGCAGCTTACCAATAGGAGCCACATCATCTTGTTCAAATTTTATTCAAATTCAGAATTCTCACCTGCAGCTTAGCTTATATGAACAACAACTATTTTTAATTCTCTTCGTTTTGCTACTACTGTTTCTTGATCTTATAAGCTGAATTAGTTAGGATAATTTATCTCAGATTATTCAAATTTAGAATTCCATCGATGAACACTATATTTTATCCATTGTGTATTCAAAGCTCCCAAATTCGCAGGCATTACGTCACTTAGCCAATTGGTTCTCGTATGTTCTGTTTGGGATTCTATAATTATCCTAACTAAAAGGTCATAACTCGCAGAAACCAAATCTGTAAACCGAAAATCCAAATTAAAGTTCTTCTAGGAAGATTGACAAAATAACCAAATACAAGATCTTAAAGTTTTATGAAAGGCGAAAGCGTCAGTCATCAGAATATTTTCCACAAGGATAACTAAATATCCAATCGGATCAAAGTGAAGAAATAATGATATTGATATTCGTCATACGCATTCACCGATTCATGGTTTTTAAAATTAAAAATAAAAAACGAAGATAAGAAAAGATGTGGACGAGCAACAATCAGATCGTCAATCAACAAAGGACGACTGAAACGATATATCTCGGCCAGATCGATTTCCCTCGTCGGTTCGGTCAAGGACTCAGAGACACCGGACTCTCTCTTGCCCGATAATAAGAACCACGAGGATTTTTTAGATCTATCTTAATCCAAACCAAAAATATTTTGAACTCAGAAATTAGAATCGACAAAA